TCATTGTACTTCGTTCAGTTACGTATTGCTGTTTCTATTGGTAGACTGCTACTCGTATTCCGTATTTTTCCTATATAGCAGATTTTCCTCAAAGCCAATATATATTCATTTAGTAATTATAAAAGCACTCATATTCAGTTATCCTAATAGTACGCGTATACAGCCAACTGATACGGACTCGGTGGCGCAACGGTAGCGCGTCTGACTCCAGATCAGAAGGTTGCGTGTTCAAATCACGTCCGGGTCAAAAGAATTTTGAACTCTTAGTGTTGAGATAAATTTTTCACAATGATTGAAATTAGTTTATATTGGTAGACTGTTACTCGTATTAAAGATTCATCCTAAATAGCGAAGGAGTTTTCGTCAGACTAATAATATATTCATTTGTCTTATTTTTAAAAGCACTCGTATTCAGTGATTCCAATCATACGATTTATACAGCCGTTGAATGTGGACTCTGTGGCGCAACGGTAGCTCGTCTGACTCCAGATCTGAAGGTTGCGTGTTCAAATCACGTCTGGGTCAAAATAATTTTGATCTATTAGAGTTGATATAACTTTTTCACAATGATTAATTTTGCTTCTATTACTCGTATTCCATATTTTTCCTATATAGCGAGTTTTCCTCAAAGCCGTAATATATTCATTTAGTGTAATTATAAATCACTCATATTCAGTTTTCCTAATAGTACGCGTATACAGCTGACTGATGCGGACTCGGTGGCGCAACGGTAGAGCGTCTGACTCCAGATCAGAAGGTTACTGTTACTGGTATTAAAGATTCATCCTAAATAGCGAAGGAGTTTTCCTCAGACTGATAATATATTCCTTTGTCTAATTTTTAAAAGCACTCGTTTTCAGTGATTCCAATCATTCGATTTATTTATACAGCCGATGAACGTGGACTCTGTGGCGCAACGGTAGCGCGTCTGACTCCAGATCAGAAAGTTGCGTGTTCAATTCACGTCTGGGTCAAAATAATTTTGAACTATTAGAGTTGATATAACTTTTTCACAATGATTAATTTTGTTTCTATTACTCGTATTCCATATTTTTCCTATATAGCGAGTTTTCCTCAAAGCCGTAATATATTCATTTAGTGTAATTATAAATCACTCATATTCAGTTTTCCTAATAGTACGCGTATACAGCCGACTGATACGGACTCGGTGGCGCAACGGTAGCGCGTCTGACTCCAGATCAGAAGGTTGAGTGTTCAAATCACGTCCGGGTCAAATGAATTTTGAACTATTAGAGTTGAGATAACTTTTTCACAATGATTAATTTAGTTTCTATTCGTAGCCTGTTACTCGTATTCCATATTTTTCCTATATAGCGAATTTTCCTCAGACGATAATATATTCATTTAGTGTAATTATAAAAGCACTCATATTCAGTTATCCTAATAGTACGCGTATACCGCCGACTGATACGTCTGACTCCAGATCAGAAGGTTGCGTGTTCAAATCACGTCCGGGTCAAAAGAATTTTGAACTATTAGAGTTGATATAACTTTTTCACAATGATTAATTTTGTTTCTATTCGTAGCCTCTTACTCGTATTCCATATTTTTCCTATATAGCGAGTTTTCCTCAAAGCCGTAATATATTCATTTAGTGTAATTATAAATCACTCATATTCAGTTATCCTAATAGTACGCATATGCAACAGTCTGATACGGACTCGGTGGTGCAACGGTTAGCGCGTCTGATAAATTTTAACAATAAGAGTAACTATAAGAGTTGAGATAACTTTTTCACAATGATTAATTTAGTTTCTATTCGTAGCCTGTTACTCGTATTCCATATTTTTCCTATATAGCGAATTTTCCTCAGACGATAATATATTCATTTAGTGTAATTATAAAAGCACTCATATTCAGTTATCCTAATAGTACGCGTATACAGCCAACTGATACGGACTCGGTGGCGCAACGGTAGCGCGTCTGACTACAGATCGGAAGGTTGCGTGTTCAAATCACATCCGGGTCAATTGAATTTTAAATTATTAGAGTAGAGATAAATTTTCCACAATGATTGAAATTAGTTTCTATTGGTAGACTGTTACTGGTTTTAAAGTTTCATCCTAAATAGCGAAGGAGTTTTCCTCAGACTGATAATATATTCCTTTAATTATTCTTTAAAAGCACTTGTATTCAGTGATTCCAATCATACGATTTATTTATACAGCCGATGAATATGGACTCGGTGGCGCAACGATAGCGTGTCTGACTCCATATCAGAAGGTTGCGTGTTCAAATCACGTCCGGGTCAAAAGAATTTTGAACTATTAGAGTTGAGATAAATTTTTCACAATGATTGAAATTAGTTTCTTTTGGTAGACTGTTACTGGTATTAAAGATTCATCCTAAATAGCGAAGGAGTTTTCCTCAGACTGATAATATATTCCTTTGTCTAATTTTTAAAAGCACTCGTATTCAGTGATTCCAATCATACGATTTATTTATACAGCCGATGAATGTGGACTCGGTGGCGCAACGGTAGCGCGTCTGACTCCAGATCAGAAGGTTGCGTGTTCAAATCACGTCCGGGTCAAAAGAATTTTGAACTATTAGAGTTGAGATAACTTTTTCCCAATGATTAATTTTGTTTCTATTCGTAGCCTGTTACTCGTATTCCATATTTTTCCTATATAGCGAGTTTTCCTCAATGCCGTAATATATTCATTTAGTGTAATTATAAAAGCACTCATATTCATTTATCCTAATAGTACGCGTATACAGCCGACTGATACGGACTCGGTGGCGCAACGGTAGCGCGTCTGACTCCAGATAAGAAGGTTGGCTGTTCAAACACGTCCGGGTCAAATGAATTTTGCGCTATTAGTGTTGAGATATCTTTTTCACAATGATTGAAATTAGATTCTATTGATAGAATGTTGCTCTTATTCCATATTCATCCTAAAAAGCGAATGAATTTTACTCAGAGCGATAATATATTCCTTTGTCTAAATTTTAAAAGCGCTTGTATTCACTTAACCGAATGAAACGCGTATATAGCCAACTGAAGTGGACTCGATTGCGCAAATGTAGCGCGTCTCACTCCAGATCAGAAGGTTGCGTGTTCAAATCATGTCCGCGTCAAATGAATTTTGAACTATTAGAGTTGAGATAACTGTTTCACAATGATTGAAATTAGTTTCTATTGGTAGACTGTTACTCGTATTAAAGATTCATCCTAAATAGCGAAGGAGTTTTCCTCAGATTGATAATATATTCCTTTGTCTTATTTTTAAAAGCCCTCGTATTCAGTGATTCCAATCATACGATTTATACAGCCGTTGAATGTGGGCTCGGTGGCGCAACGGTAGCGCGTCTGACTCCAGATCAGAAGGTTGCGTGTTCAAATCACGTCCGGGTCAAAAGAATTTTGAACTATAAGAGTTGAGATAACTGTTTCATAATGATTGAAATCAGTTTCTTTTTGTAGACTGTTGCTCGTATTCCATATTCACTTAAATAGCGAATGAATTTTCTTCAGAGCTATAATATATTCCTTTACTGTAATTTTAAAAGCACTCATATTCAGTTATCCTAATCGTACGCGTATACAGCCGACTGATGTGGACTCGGTGGCGCAACGGTAGCGCGTCTGACTCCAGATCAGAAGGTTGCGTGTTCAAATCACGTCCGGGTCAAAAGAATTTTGTACTCTTAGAGTTGAGATAAATTTTTCACAATGATTGAAATTAGTTTCTATTGGTAGACTGTTACTCGTATTAAAGATTCATCCTAAATAGCGAAGGAGTTTTCCTCAGATTGATAATATATTCCTTTGTCTTATTTTTAAAAGCACTCGTATTCAGTGATTCCAATCATACGATTTATACAGCCGTTGAATGTGGGCACGGTGGCGCAACGGTAGCGCGTCTGACTCCAGATCAGAAGGTTGCGTGTTCAAATCACGTAAGGGTCAAAAGAATTTTGAACTATAAGAGTTCAGATAACTGTTTCATAATGATTGAAATCAGTTTATTTTTGTAGACTGTTGCTCGTATTCCATATTCACTTAAATAGCAAATGAATTATCTTCAGAGCTATAATATATTCCTTTACTGTAATTTTAAAGCACTCATATTCAGTTATCCTAATCGTACGCTTATACAGCCAACTGATACGGACTCGGTGGCGCAACGGTAGCGCGTCTGACTCCAGATCAGAAGGTTGCGTGTTCAAATCATGTCCGCGTCAAATGAATTTTGAACTATTAGAGTTGAGATAACTCTTTCATAATGATTGAAATCAGTTTATTTTTGTACACTGTTGCTCGTATTCCATATTCAATTAAATAGCAAATGAATTATCTTAAGAGCTATAATATATTCCTTTACTGTAATTTTAAAAGCACTCATATTCAGTTATCCTAATCGTACGCGTATACAGCCGACTGATGTGGACTCGGTGGCGCAACGGTAGCGCGTCTGACTCCAGATCAGAAGGTTGCGTGTTCAAATCACGTCCGGGTCAAAAGAATTTTTAGCTATTAGAGTTGAGATAAATTTTTCACAATGATTGAAATTAGTTTTTATTGGTAGACTGTTACTCGTATTAAAGATTCATCCTAAATAGCGAAGGAGTTTTCCTTATACTGATAATATATTCCTTTGTCTAATTTTTAAAAGCACTCGTATTCAGTGATTCCAATCATACGGTTTATACAGCCGAAATGTGTGGACTCGGTGGCTCAAAGGTAGCGCGTCTGACTCCAGATCAGAAGGTTGAGTGTTCAAATCACGTCCGGGTCAAAAGAATTTTGCACTATTAGTGTTGAGATATCTTTTTCACAATGATTGAAATTAGATTCTATTGATAGAATGTTGCTCGTATTCCATATTCATCCTAAATAGCGAATGAATTTTCCTCCGAGCGATAATATATTCCTTTTTCTAAACTTTAAAAGCACTCGTATTCAGTCAACCGAATCAAACGCGTATACAGCCGACTGATGTGGACTCGGTGGCGCAACGGTAGAGCGTCGGGCTCCAGATCAGAAGTTTGCGTGTTCAAATCACGTCCGTCCGGGTCAAAGGAATTTTGCACTATTAGTGTCGAGATAAATTTTTTAAAATTATTGAAATTAGTTTCTATTGGTAGACTGTTACTCATGTTCCCTATTTTTCCTAAATAGCGAATTTTCCCAGTGCGATAATATATTCCTTTATTGTAATTTTAGAAGGACTCATATTCAATTATCCTTGTCATACGCTTACACAGCCAAGTGATGTGGGCTCAGTGGCACAACGGTAGCGCGTCTTACTCCAGATCAGAAGGTTGCGTGTTCAATTCACGTCCGGGTCAAATGAATTTTGCACTATGTTGAGAGAAATTTTTTTAAATGATTGAAATTTTTTTCTATTGGTAGACTGTTACTCGCATAAATATTTTTCCCTAATAGCGAATTTTCCTGAAAGCGATAATATATTCCTTTAGTGTAGTTTGAAAATCACACGTATTCAGTTATCCCAATCATACGGTTTATACAGCCCACTGATGTGGACTTTTTGGCGCACCGTTAACGCGTCTGACTCCAGATCTGAAAGTTGCGTGTTCAAATCACGTCCGGGGCAAATGAACTTTGCACAATTATTGTTGATATATCTTTTTCACAATGATTGAAATTCGTTTCTATTGATTGACTGTTACTCGTATTCCTTATTTTACTATGGAGAATTTTCTTTAGAGCGACAAGACACTTCTTTAGAGTTCAAGTATCATTCTGAAACAAGGGCATCTGTCGTCATAGAGACGTATCCGGATGTTGCAGTCGGCCGGAAATCTTAAAAAGAACGAAAGTTTTATAAAAACATGTCAAAACTGAACATTGTTAACTTAAGTTGGTCATTCTCATTAAAAAGGTACAAATAGCTAAAAAAATTATTTTTCAAAAGTAGGTAAAAAATCTTGCATCTATGTTTCCATTTAAGCTTAATAAATAACTTTATATTAGTGCTCAAGTTTTCGATTTTATTTTTCACTGTTTTTTTTATAATTTTTGACCTGTCTTCGAAGGAGATATGATAGACAACGGAACTTTTACATTTTAAACGAAAGCATAATGGTCTAATTATTGGCCAGATTTGGTACATGTTTATTTCTTAGAATTTAAAAATTAAATTAGTTATTAAATACTAGTGCAAGAAAACTTAATATTTTTGAAATAATTGCAATTTTTAAATAATGGCATTGATTGTGCATTAGTTAAATATTTGCAAACAATTTCAAGTAAATGAAAGCCTACATTTTGCAGGAAAGTAATCAATTATATAACAGATTAAGGAATATGATATATTTATTCATTAATAAATAATCTAATATGTCTCGTATTAAGTTTTTCTACTCTCTTCTCTTCTGAATTTCGGCATCTGACTGCTTTGTCTTTTTATTTTTCGATATTCCCATTTTCTCTTAAAATAAATTTAGCTATTAAAATCTTTTTATACAGTATTGAAGTTTTAATATTATAATAATTTTATATGAATTGTTCGCCTTAATTCTTTTCGAGAATGTAACTTTAATTTTAATTTTTTAAGAAAATACAAAAGAAAATAACTAAATTTCATTCAAAAATAACTACCAAAGAACTTTTAATTGATATCATTTTAATTTATCTGACTGTATCATGATATTTGAGATTTTGTCTCTTTCATTGACAATGCCTTCCTCTCTGGAGAGATGCTGTCCTCGGATGGGAATTCCACGGAGGAAACAAATACTAAGTTTTGAACTTTTAAGTGCTTTGGTTTTTACGTGGCTAAAGTGGTGCACTTATTTTTAATAAATTGGATACTAAACCTATCAAAATTTTGTATTTTAATTATAAATTAGATTTTTCTGAACTTATTTATGATGTCCATGGAGTGGACGCTGAGAACTTTACCAAGGTCTAAATGGAACTAATAAATTGTAATATATTCAGTAAATTCGCAATACAACGGGAATTTTTCCTTCAAGAACAAATTGTCTACCTCTCTTATAAACTTTTTCATGATGATTTCACATCAGCTGCCATTTTATTTTCTTCGTCCACGAAGAGAGACGTATTTGACTGGTTTAAAAGTGTAAAAATGAATTACTAAGTAAAAATTTTAAAAAAGAATGTTAGGTTTAGACCTTAAACTAGTTAATACTGAAAAAAAGTCAATTTTTTTAAAATTTTGCTTGATTTAAATTTATTTTTAAATATTATTTTGAATTTCATGTGTAGGGATGTCCGTCCACGAAGGGGACTTCTGTCTTATATTCATTGAAAAATGAGAGTTAAATAGTAAAACTATTATAGTATAAACGTTTTGAATAGCTTTCTTAAAACTTAAATTGTACATACGAACAAAAATATTAAGACATTTGTTGCACTTTCTAATTTTTATCACACCGGGACTGTAAAAAGAAGCTTTTCGCGATAATGACCCAAGTCAGTTATTGATTGAGCCATCCAGGACTGTTAACCTACATGGCTCAATCAGTAACTGACTTACCATGTATGGTCATGATGAATTGACTGTCTAGCCACAATGCTTTGATAATTATCATGTCGTGGTAGAGTAGTTGATGACTTCGAAATGGCTGTAAAATGACTGTTCTCTATCAACATTATTATTGGACTTTATGCACTATGCTGCGATAAATATATTGAACCGTTTCTTCTTACTGTTAGGAGACTCCAAAATCCTTCGATGAAGGGGTTCCTGTTATAAATTCCCCTACTCTGTATTGTAATGCTTATTGTCTGAATTAGCAGGTTCTTAAGTGAAGAAATGCGGTACGGCGATGGTTCAGTTTATTTTGACATTTGGAATAAAATAGGATG